ACCAACAGTGTAGGAGTGTTCTCTTCTCTCCAAATCCTCACAGCATTTGTTATTCTCAGTCGTTTTGATTATAGTCAGTCTAACTAGGGTGAGGTGATATCTCAATGTTTTAATTTGCATTTCCCTGATGATTAGTGATGTTGAGCATTTTTTCATGTACCTGTTGGCCATTTGTATGTCTTCCTTCAAAAAATGTCTATTCAGTTCCTTTGCCCATTTTTTAATTAGGTTATTTGGTTTTTTTTACTATGTAATTGCTTGAGTTCCTTATATATTCTGGATATTAATCCATTGTTGGATGTATAGGTTGCAAAAATTATCTCCCACTCTGTAGGTTGTCACTTCACTCTGTTGATTCCTCTGCTGTGCAGAAGCTTTTTAGTTTGATGGAGTCCCATTTGTTTATTTTTTCTTTTGTCGCATGTGCTTTGGGGCTCTTGTTCATAAAGTCTGTGCCCAGTCCTAGTTCCTGAAGTGTTCTCCCTATGTTTTCCCTTAGTAATTTTACAGTTTCAGGTCTTAGTCTTTAATCCACTTTGAGTTGATTTTGGTATAAAGTGAAAGGTGCAGGTCTAGTTTCATTCTTCTGCATACAGATATCCAATTTTTTCAGCACCACTAACTGAAGAGGCAGTCTTCTCCCCAATGCATGTTTTTGTTGTCTTGTCAAATATCAATTGGCTGTAAGTCTGTGGGTTGATTTCCAGGTTCTCTTTTCTGTTCTGCTGGCCTGAGTGTTTATTTTTATGCCAGTACCATGCTGTTTTGGTTACTATAGCTTTGTAGCATAATTTGAAATCATCAAAACCATACCCAGTGCTCCCTGAATGGATCAATCCATTCACAAAGGCACAGTCCTCACAATCTAATCACCTTTCAGATACCATAATTTCATTTTCCACCCTCTTAACACTGTTACAGTGGGGTCAAATTTCCAATATGTGAACTTTTGGGAGACACATATAGCCCACAGTACAACCTTGACATGCTGTTGAGATTTTGAAACTTAGAGCAATATGATTTGGGATTCTGAAACACTGGTGTTTTAGCAAGAGTAAATCTATGTATTATTGAATCAATTTTTTATTTTTGTTTTTCCAGATCTAATTACTTGTTTGGACACTGCATCCAATTTTTTGGAACCTGAGTTCAGGTATGACCATATTTGTGATTTTTTTTATTTTTTATTTTTTTTGCTTAAATGTTACTCTTCATTTACTTCAAAAATGTGTGCACTTAAGATTAATGTATATTGTGTGACACATAATTATGGTTCCGAGACTCAAATAAGAGCTTATTCAAAGCTATTTTGTTGCCATGTTTAAATTTTGCTTTAGTTGTAGCACTTAGAACTTCTCCAGTAGAATTAGTTGCTCTTTAAAATCTGGCAAAACTGCTAATAAAAGTAGGAAAGCTATTTATCTTTTCTGACAAAAGGGAAGGAGGTGGTTCAGGCTAGTGTAGAATTCTTCAGTGTTCTTACCCAAGTAGCATTTCTACTCCTGTTTCTCTGCTTTATGCCTTTGTCTCTCTCCTAGACTAGGTTTAACTTCTAATTGTTTTTTTCATTTCTAATCTCTGCTGGCTTTTTTCTGCCATTCACACT